CAGTAGGTTTTACATATTTTTTTGTGTTTAACTTTGTACATCAGCGCGAGTACTGAAAGGTTAATATTTATGTTAGTATAGACAACGGAGTGAAGACACATTTTCTTTATCCGATATCCCTAACAATTTCTTCTAATTCTCATTTGTATCAAGTTAATTTTTTTTTCTGAAACATTTTTTTAATTAAATCTTTTATTCTTTACAATTCTTCTTATATTCATCCAGATAGCATCCAGAACCAATTCATCCAGATAGCATTTGGCCTAGTGACCGTTATCTCTGTTACTCAATAAATTCTAGGGCTTTTAAATCATAAGATGTATCAAGTTTAAAAAAGTGATAGAAATTAAGTTTTCAAATTATCTCTAAATATTAACTATTAGTTTTGAATAAATTAAGTGACTCATAGAGTTCAATTTATAGTTCAAGTTTTAAAACCTATTTTATGTAGTTTTGCTTTTATTTTCGCCACAAATAACTCCGTTGACCGCCTTTTTAAAAATGCGTTCCATTTCGTTTTTTGTTGAAAATTAACAACCGGGAATTTATTACGATTTAAACCGGGAAAACCGGGAAAAACCGGGAATTTCAAAATGAAAATTCACTGGCCACCCTGATCTACTAGACTGATGCAAAATTTGACATTTTTGCTCCACAGTGATCAAGCGGTTCCAAATCGGGTCTAGATTAGCCTCCCAAGGTTTGAACTGATTTGGTAACAAACTGACTGGGCACAAACCATTTGAAGTTTATATGCGAATTACTATGTGGAAATCACACTTTTTTTTCGTATTCTGTATCCTTCTTCCATATTGCACCGTTAAAAGTTTCTATAGCTATTCTTATGGAAAAATTTTCAGCCAAACATCAAATTAAATAGTTATCAATTGTTTAAGAGATTGATAATCTTACACACTTAAATTATTTTACCGAAATCTGTGAAATTTTACCGAAATCTCAACAGCTGAACGTTCGGTAAAGAGTTCGGTGATTTTTCACAGATTTCCAGTAATTTTTCACAGATATTCGGTGAAAAGTTACAGGAAATCTGTGAAAACTCACCGAACTATTTACCGAACGTTCAGCTGTTGAGATTTCGGTGAAATTTCACAGATTTCGGTGAAATAATCTTAGTGTGTATGGCATGATCAAGCAACTGTTTTGTGGGCAACACTATGTTCTGCAGTGTGACATAGTAGCCATAACGTTTAAGCTCTATTCTACGCACCAGAAACACCAATGTTGCCTGCTGAGCAGTTGATTGAGCATAATCATACGACAATAGTGACTTGAATCATTAATAACTTTTGATCTTTATATTTTATCGAAAGATGGCCTTCAACAAAGTTGTAGCTGTGAAAATTTACTACACGAACAGTTATAAATTTTTAGCAGAGTAATAGAGTGAGTTATTATATAGATATGAACACAAAATTAGATTTTCCCATAGGAATTTCCATATAAACTTAACTTCAAATGGTTTGTACCAAATCAGTTTCTTACTAAATGAGTTCAAATTTTGGAAGGCTAATCAGGAACCAAATAGGAACCGTTTGAACATTGTGGAGCGAAAATTTCAAATTTTCCATCAGTCTACTGATCCACCAATGTTGGTTTAACTCGGAGAGGGTCGATATAACTGGCTCGGTCACTTGAGATGGAATGACCCTTTTCTTTTTACAAAAACAATCATAGCTCTAGAACCGTTGATTGTATATATCTGAGAAGCGTCGATTCAATCTGAGAAAAAGTTGAAGAGTTGGTTTCAAAACATATCGTGTGCGGATGGTTAGTGACAGATAGAATATTATATTAGAATAATTTAAACCTATTTTGATGCACATATTTATGTAATTTAATAATTGAAACTATTTTACTACAATATAAAAGCTAAATTGATAAGTTAAACAGAGGAAATGGCTATAATGTTAGTCTATGGCTTTATTATTAGGTTCATCGAAAAAAAAATGTTTTTCTTTTTTACAGAACAATGCGTCATTTGGACAATACCAATTATTGGTTGCTAATATAAAATTGAACAAAAATAGTGTAATTCGGAAACTATCTATGGAGCAGTTCCAGACCAAATAGTGATTTTTTTTATTTGCATGAAAGCAGGGTGCCTTCCATTAATTTTGGCGAAAAACATGTTTTATGAAATTATGGAATAATAAGATATTATGATATTATTTTGTATGTGTAAGTAACAAGAAAATATTGTCAAGTGTCACACAACACATGTAAATTTAGCTTTAACAGAGTCACAATGAGCGATTTTCTGATCGCCTCTTCGCGAAGAGTGAAGAGCGAAGAGTGGGTGAGATAAACGACAAAATCGCTTATTGCGACGCTAATGTAGCAAAATTGGCAGGTATTATGCATCAGACCCAAACTTCACAATATTTTCTTGTTGCTTACACAAACAAAATATTATCATATAATCTTATTATTCCATAATTCCATAAAACATTTTCTTAGCCAAAATGAATGGAAGGCACCCTGCATGAAAGTATGCAATTTTTTTTTTGTTATGGGCCGTCATTCATATATTTGCCAACATTCTACTATTCTTGGATCTTGTAAGATTTTTCAAAAAGGCAGTTTTAACATTTTTCAAAAAATTGAAGCACGTAAACGTCACTTACGCTTTGTGCTCTCTTGCCGTGCGGATCTATTTGCATGATTTGATTTTTGCTGCCTAAAGCTACAACAAATGTAAACAGCACTTTTCAGTGCTCAACCTGTAAAGTTTCTACCTTGTTTGGCTCTTATTCCTCTTCGATCCTTGTTTGGATCCTACCCAAGGTCTGGGCCATTGATTTGGAAAATTCCTCGGATTCGGATTCTTATAGTAATCTGTTTGGAAATCGATTCGGAGAAACTTGGTTCTGCCGCAAAAGAAAATGGCAATCATTTGATTAACCTTCTGATGAAATTTAATTGAGCAATCGATTTGATATGCGTACAGATGATGAGAATGGTCCATCATACAGGCAAAATTACATTAAGAATTCCAGGCTTAATGCCAAAAAGGAAACGATTCCTCCAATTTTGGTAACCACTTCCGATTTCCATGCTCTTCACAAGGAACTTTAGAATTTCGTTAAATTTAATTTTCACTTCAAATTGGCTGTCGCCTCAAGTATCTTACTGAGAAGCAACACACATTTTTTACTTATGACACCAAAACTGAACGTCTTTTCAAGGTTGTGTTGAACAAGTAGTCAACGGAAATATGTTGATCATAAAAGTGTTCAAAATTTTTGATGTTATCCTAGAAAGTTAAGTCTGTCAATGATGTCGTGATGTAGTTTGAGAAAAATATATTTACTATAATTTAAGGATTAGGATTAGGCTATTGCAAAGGTATTACAATTGTTTTCCAAAACCTGTTTTTGAAATACTGCATATACTGATATCATGCCAAGCAAGCATACATTTAGGTTCTTGCTCTATTGAATTTCGAAGGTTCACACCTAGTGGCTATGCTTTCAAATTTTTTTTATTTTTTTTTTTATATTTCTACATGAAAGGCTATTGACGAACTAATGGTATTAAAACCAATTGCTATAAGAACTCAATCGCTCTGCATGATTTCTTATCATATTGGATGTTTTGTTTAGTTTTAAGGAAACTTTTGAAAACTCAAACTTGAAAATGTCGATACATGAATCTAAATCAGGCGTTAGAATTCTTGTGCGAAGTGTGTCAGCAAAAATGCCAAAAAATATTTCAGAAAAGTCGTTAGACATTTGACGAAATTCCTCCAATTTCCTTGACATTGGAAACAGTGACACGAAGTTTCGTCATAAAATCAGTTCCAGTTGTTGGAATGCTGATGTTGCGTGCTATTGAACGGCAGTAAAATAAAATTGAAATTTATGCAGTAAAACATATGTTTTGTTGAGAAAATTTCATCAAAACAATCATTAGAGTCCCTTGATCAAATACTATCAAGATTTCTCTTGATGTCTATTAGTGAAAATATTCTTAGGGCATTTTACCTCCATTTCCTTTACATATAGAAAGCTTGCAATTAATGACTGTGCTTACGTTAAAAACAGGTGTAAAGTTCCAGCTGAGAAGTTGATTAATAGCCGAGATGTTGTAGAGGTCCAGCATAATCTGAACTTTCTACAACTCGAACCTGAAGGGTCCTTCGAGTTATAGAGTTATCGAATTATGAACAACAATCCCATAGGGAATCACCATCGCAGTAGTCATAAAATTTATTCTAACTATGGTTCCATAACTCGATATCGAGGTATTGGACATCGAGTGGTGGAGAGCCAGCTGTACCTACATTCATATGTAAAAAAAAAATAAAAGTTAGTTGGGAAGATACGAAATTTAAGTAAATTTAAACTTCTTGTCAATGCATTGATTGAAGTGAAGTAGATTAGTAAGCATTGTGCTGAGCTAGTAACAACCCAGACAACCAGAATGCACGTATATTCAAAGTTGTTTTCGTGATTTACAAACATATATACAAACAAACAATTCGTATAGAATGCAAATAAATGGCTTATACGTACAAAAGTGGAGGCCATATACGTGCATATTTTAATTTAATTTTAAACGAGTTGATTGAACATCATATACGATTTAATCTGTAATAACAAATTCATTTTGAAAAGTCTTTCGATGTAATCCGATTTAATTTGTGATACAGTACGACGGAAAAATGAGTCATCGCATATAGGTCGAAAAATTGCGTTTTATACGATTTAACTTAAACATAATGCGAGGTATGCCATTCTTTTATGCGATTTTGACTTAAACTGTAGCAATTTACAATACTGTGTGTACATTGTTATACGACTTCTGGTTGTCTGGGAAATACTCAAGCTATCAGAAAATACTCATCACCGGGCTATAGATTTTAGGTATTAGTCTGTAAGTAGTTATTTACAAACGATATACGTGTGGAGTGGGCGTGAAAGGGCAGTGAAAAGTGGTGCGGTGCGGTTGCTTAAAACCGAAAAACCTATCAAACTTACCGCTGTTGTGCCAGTAGTAGAGAGCTGCCAGAACAAACACGTGCCACCAGTTGTGCGAGTGACCGATGTAGTCCACTTTGCCGGCGAACCAACGCTCCGGTATCCTGGTGACGTAGATCAGGAAGGCCGTGCCCGTCAGCAAATACATCACCATCACGCGTGGAATGAACAACTACGGCGAGAAGCAACAAACAAAACATAAATTTTTTAGGGGTCAATCTTAGTGCATCCATTTGCATTTATCTATGTTTCTCCCACAATCGAATACCAATGCGCGAATCTCACGATCTGCGTCGAATACTAATGTTAATTATGTCAATGAGCTTGACATTAGACTTGAGGTGCGAAATTATGCAATGCGTGTCGTCGTCATTGTCATTTTCGCTCGCGCAGCATCGGTGTAACGCGATGCCGGTGGGTTTGGTTTTTCGAATTTCACTTCCAAGGCTAGCGGATCGCATAAATGACTACTACACGTATAATGACCACCGACCACCGCGACTGGCCGTGACAAGGTCGTCCAACGTGTTGGTTGCGCGATACGGAATGTGGGGTTTCTCAACAGTTTGTTCACATTTGAAACTGATTTGAGCTTTATTTATTGGAAACGATCGCATTCGTTTGTAGCTAAGTAGCGAGACGTGTGGGGTGTTAGCTTACCTTGACCATGGTACTTTCTGCGCCGCCCATCACAATGTACCAGTGGAGTGTGGGGACGACGCCGTATGCAGCCCAGGCGACGAAGGCGAGCATCTTGATGTTGGAATTCACCTTCAGTCGCGGGATCTGCAGGATCATTGCTATCGTGAATATCACCCCGATGGTGATGATGTAGAAATTTCGTAGTTCCTGGTTGGTGAGAACAAGTGGGTATTAGTAGAAATATTTGTATCTGTAAGCATAAAATGTGTAAATTTAAGTTGCAAATCTGCCTTGATTTCAAGGAAACTACTTGATTCTCCTACGCACCTAGGGAGTATTTTTTTTTGAGGCTAATGTAAATATTAGAGATTAGGTGGGCCTAGTGGTTAACATCCATACCTCTCACGCCAAAATCACGAGTTCTAAACAGCCCCGGACAAGTCGCAAATGACCCAAGAGTGATTAAAAAAAAACAAGATTCTGAGACTTCCAAAATACTAAGGATCCTGGTGCTTCAGACTAAATTGCCGAGATGAACTTTGACAAAGCTTCGAAACTCTTAGACATTGCAAACTTTGCAAGGTCTCAGATTTATGAAATTATTCGCTATCCGGACGAAGTTTGGTCACTTCCTGGGATGATTGCTCAACGACCCATTGAGACTCCAATGCCGTTTGGCGGTTATTTTTAAACAAACCTGTTTTCTACACAGCAAAAATTAAATTTTAATATTACATCCAAGAGCATGCACTTCAATCATGTCGAAAATCTCATGTAATCAAAATATATATATATCAAAATTAATTTTGATATATATATATTTGATATATATATATATATATTTGATATATATATATATATATATATATATATATATATATATATATATTTGATATATATCAAAATTATTTTTTTGCTGTGTACGATCTACACGATAGGTTTTTAGGACATGTTGTACTTTACGAGCTTGTTTTACATATGTAATGGCCAAGGATGGATGGCTTTCTGAAGCATCTTTCATTACGTTTTAAAATAAAACGCTAACGTTAAGTCTAATTTAAATTTCAATGAATCCATCTTAAAACAATAACATTAATTCTAGTAATATCCGGATCAAACTTCATAATTTTCGCATCGTTGAGCCACACTCTGTGTTTTCACTGAATATTCAGTAGGGTGCGCATTCGGGCCACGAAGTCTGGCGTTACGGTTGCAAAGATTTTGAAGTTTGATCGGGAGAATGCTAGCATTAATCTATCTATTTTAAAGATTAATTAGCTGAAAATTCAATTAAACTTAATGTTAGCTTCCTATATTAAAAAGTAAAGAAAGATTATCCAAAGAGCGATCCATCCCTGTAAGTACTGCTAGTGGTTGAGCATCAATATTCAATGAAAATTTTAAAAATAGGGTATGTGAGCACTAGTGCTCCAGTTTTTGGGCCTAGCGTCTAACTCAATATTGAAATAAATTTTCATGGCTTTACCTGCGTAGACCTATGACAAAACCTATGTTCTAACTCTTCATAGAAATAAATTTGGTACAAAATGAGAAAAAAATAAAATAAAATTAATAGTCAGAAATGGAAAAATCGCGAACTATAAACTATGGACAACGAATAAATAAATAAAATCAAAAAAGTGTCTTCAGAGGAATTGTTCACATAAGTTCACATATATAAAAATGAATTTCTGTCTGTCTGTCTGTCTGTCTGACCCTTATAGACTCGGAAACTACTGAACCGATCGGCGTGAAAATTGGTATGCAGGGGTTTTTAGGGCCGGGAAAGGTTCTTATGATGGTTAGATACCCCTCCTCCCTCTGTAAGGGGAGGGGGGCTCCCATACAAATGAAACAGAAATTTCTGCATAACTCGAGAACTAATCAAGCAAATGGAACCAAATTTGGCATGTGGAGGTATACGGAGATGTTCATAAGGGGTAGCCCCTTAGATAAGAGGAGGGGGGGGTACGTACAAAATAGCATGCTTTTTTTATTCGGCGCATACATTCAAGCTTATATTGAATCCCGAGCAAGGCCGGGCACTCAACTAGTTTCAAATAAATTATCATGGCCTACTATGAAAAAAAAAATGAAACCCCCTAAAGAGATAGTAGGATACTATCTTGGGCAAAGTTGTAGAACTACTCAAAATATGAAACTTTGCTGAAAATACAAATGTTTAATAGTTATGGATAAACTTCTTGATCAGCTGCAAGATAAGCGACGTATCACTCAAGCTACTTTTCGCAGAGCTGAGAATCGACAATATTTTCATCTCTCATTCTTCAACGATTATTCATTTTCCTCTCCCATCCAAACCTTGAAAATATGTTCTCTCAAAATCGGTGAGAGCGATAGTGTGTTGCTGGAGTTCGAGCGTTTGAGCCCAATGTGATGTAAACTGGTAAGTCGATATGAATTTGTAGACTCTTTTGTACGCCTGCTGATTAAATGTACATCGGAGTTTAACGTTACACTCCGTCGATTATTTAAACTGAAAGAGAACGTTGAAGAACTTTTGTAAAAAAAAATAATTAAACGTCAATTTGTCGAAACTATTAGTTCGCCAACGTAAACTAACATCCCCACCAGGTAGGGTTAAATTTCCAGTACATTATGTTAGTTTGCGTGGGTGAGCCAAGAGTTTCGACAAATTGACGTTCGAATCTTTGTTTATAAAAGCAGATACGGCTATTTGAAACGCTAAGGGTGATAGTTTTGAAGTATCTTGACCTAATTATCATTCGTGATCATTCCCAAGGACCCATTTGAAAATTTCAGGAACATGGAATTGATGCCATGAATATTTAAAGCTAACTATGGGCGATGAAAAATATGAAAATTGAAATTCTAAAGAAAATTTCATTTCATTGGACTCAAACGCAAAGGGTGGTAGTTTTGGAGCATCCTTTGTCTTGATAATCATCCAGGGTCATTATTATGGGCCCATGTAACAATACCTGGAACATAGAAGTGATGCCATGACTATTTAAAGCTAACTATGGGAGATAGAAAATTTAAAAATTGAAATTCCTAATAAAATTCCATTTATTTCAACTCAAACGCAAAGGGTGGTAATTTTGAAGTATCCTTTGACCTGAATATCATTCATAATCATTCTCCAGGACCAATTGAGAATTCCTGGAACATATTTTGGCATTGTAAAGCTGAAATCAGGTTTCTTGATTTTATACCAGGGGTTTGCAAGCTGTATAAGCCGCGGAGCACTTTTTGAGAGAAATATTCTTCTTGGAGCACCGATTTTGCTAGAATTTCCAAACACATATTTTCAATAATAACTGCAGATCCGCAAGACAAAATATAATAAATTGGTGAGAATCTTCCCATTAAATAGGCGAATCCAGTAGAAACTGAAATTTTCGCCATGAAGCATAGGAAGAGCAAAATATTTTCACCTTTTCTGATTAATTTATCCATCGCAGGTGATTGAAACCATCATCCACATGGAATATTTTGTTTTCTGTATCAATTTTGCAGTGATCCGGCTGGTGATTCCACATATTTTTGTTAAGAAAAGTAAAGATTTAAAAAACTGCCCCAGCGGTTATGATCTTCCGGATTTTTAGTGTGGTGTTATTTGAGCTGTACATCTGTTAAAATATGTAAAAAAATAATATAAAAAGACCCCTTCCGATGGAAATATACAAGATATGCATAAAAATATTCTTAATTTGAGATGTAAAAATATGTAATTTTGATGTTAACAAACGGTTTGGTTAACGTTTCCTTTAATAATCGCCTAGCGCCTCTACATTGGTGGTGTATAGGCGAATCTAAAAGAAACTAAGCGATCCTTTCAGCCCCTGGCGTTTAATAGGGGAGCCCTCAAAAGAGTGATGAGGGTGGAACTTGTCACCGTGAAGCATAGGAAGAGGACAATATTTTCACCTTTCCTGATTAATTAATCCACCGCAGAGGTGCTTGAAATCATCATCCACGTGGAATATTTTGTTTTCTGTATCAGGTTTGCAGTGATCCGGCTGGTGCTTCAATATATTTTTGATGAGAAGATTAAGATTTATAAAACTGTCCCAGCGGTTATGATCTTCCGGATTTTTAATGTGTGGTTATTTCAGCTGTAAATCGGTTCAGATCTGTAGATAATCGAAAAATAAGACCACTCCCGATGGAAATTTGCAAGTTGTGCAATAAAATGTACATTATTTTGAGTTTTGAAAATCTTTATTATGATGTAAACAAATGGATTGTATGACATCTCCTCTCAAAATCGGCTAGCGCACTCTACATTGATGGTGCATAAAAAGAGTCTATAGAAACAGCCTATTTCTGCTCACAACACTCTTTTTGACGTTCTCCTATTCACCACCAGAGGCTGAATCGATCGCTTAGTTTCTATAGGCTCTTTTCATGCGCCACCAAGTAGAGTGAGCTAACCGATTTTGAGAGGAAATGTCATCCAATCCATTTGTTTACATCATAATGACGTTTTTCAAAACTCAAAATAATGTACATTTGCACAACTTGCAAAATTCCATCGGGAGGGGTCTTATTTTTCGATTATCTACAGATCTGAACCGAGGGGGACGACTCTATCTACGATGCAGGAAATATTGTGTTTTGCTGTGGCTAGCTGCGCGAACGCTGAGTAGATAGAAAGAAGATTTATCACGATTTTAAAGATTTCCTGCAAAAAGATGATGCGCGATGCAAGTAGATGCGAGAAATGACAGAAGATTTTTCGAAGATTTATTCACATCTAAAATTGAGATTTAGATGTGTCGCCCCCCTCGATCTGAACTAATTTACAGCTGAAATAACCACACATTAAAAATCCGGAAGATCTAATCGCTGGTACAATTCTATAAATCTGTTTTTTTTTTATATATCTTTATTAAGGAGACTAGCCCTGGGCTGGTTCGTCTCCGGTTTATAAATCTTAAGTTTTCTCATCAAAAATATATGGAAGCACCAGCCGGATCACTGCAAACCCGATACAGAAAACAATATATTCCACACGGATGATGATTTCAAGCACCTGCGGTGGATAAATTAATCAGGAAAGGTGAAAATATTTTCCTCTTTCTATGCTTTACGGTGAACATTTCCACCCTCACCACTCTTTTGAAAGTTCCCCTATTCACCACCATTTCTTGTAACACTGCCAATACAATCAAGATAGGCGCTGCTTGATTGGCTCTGCCTTTGACAGTTCGTTTGAATCAAAACCAGGCATTCCGCTCCTCTCTTATGCTAAAACCTCTCTATTCAAAACTTGAACTATAGTAAAAAAAATCGTTTTTTGCAAGGCTCCTGCTGGTGATCAATAATGATCTTCCGGATTTCTTGTATGTGAATAATTTAGGGGTAAATCAGTTCAGATCTGTGGAAAATCGTTCCATAAGAAAATTACCGTTGGAAATTGGCAAGATGTTCAATGAAAAATGCTTTAATTTGCGTTGTGAAATAAATTGGCCTGATGTAATTTGACATAATGCCCATTTGGCATAGCTTCCGTTTGGTATAATGACCATTTGGCTTAAACGAGATAAAAATGCATTTTTCTGATGCAAGTAAATGACACTTTAAAGGTAAAACGTCCCGAAGCCATTTTTCTGGTGGATTTTATTATAAATTCGAATCATCTAGAGCCTGAATACCAAAAAAATTAAATTAGGATTTTGAATAGTCACGAAATGCGAATCTAAACCTAAGCTATGAAGAGATTAATGTCAAGTTGAAAAATACTGACGAAAATCATCATTTTACAAAACAAAATTTTCATGTTTCGTTTCATAAAAGCACTAGTAAAGGTCTGTCGGAGCACTAAATGATCCGAGGAACACGACCTGAAAACCCCTGTGTTATCCATCCGACTCATAAAATCCGAAAATATAAGCCTGTGTGAAAAATGGTATTGAAGGTTTCGAAGTCGCGTACCATGGAAGATAGTTGAATTTCACTATAATATTGCTTTAACTTGGCGCCAGACTCGGCCTTCTTTGATTTGCATGAAACTTTGTCTAATTGTTTGTTATGGGCAATCATTCACATTTCTGCAAAAATTCGGCTATTTTGAATCTTAATGTTTTTTTTTCAAGATGGCGTATTCGACATGTTTCAATAAATCGTAGCACGAAAACGTCACTACTAATCGAAATGATGTTTGAGACAAAGTTACAGGTAAATATAAAATGTCTCTTGAAAAAAAAAATACCTCGTAAATTTTTGATAGTAATTTTGAGCAAAACATCCAGAAAAGTTTTAAAAAAATTAAATAGCAAATTGAAAATTTTTTAAATAGATTTTTTATTAATTGACAAAAATGGTAGAAAAACAGCTTTTGGTAAAATTTTTGAAGTTTTTATTAGTACACTTTTTTTGTAAATTTTACAAATATTGTTATGTGTGACCTTTTCAACCATTTGCTGTACCAAAGTTACAAAAATATTACACAATAAGAAAATTTAAAACTTGATGTTTTACGATTTTTGTAATTATTAAGTGTCCAAGGTTTTCAATATTTTATTATTATATTTTATTTCATATTAAAAAAATGCCTAAAATTCTCCGCCACATTCCATGAGTTCTTGTCAATTTTTAATAAGTTTTTAACGGAGATTAAATATGGAAGAATGTGCGAAAATCACCATGTACTACGCTAGTTTACTTATGCTTGTAGTGTTAACCATCACAATCAGCCAAACATTTTATTGACTTACCGCATTACACCAGAAGGCATAATAGATGCCGCTGATGAAGATGGCCAAGAGTGACAGTGCAATGCCGAACAGGTCATACGCGAGGAAGCACTCATAACTTTGCTCCGATTTACAGGAGAAAGTATGGTAAATGGAAGACAGGATCATGCAAACCTGAAAACATAAATAATTTCACATTGGATGTACTGCGACGAGTTGCAACACTGACCTGGAAGCACACTAGCAAAGCGCCGACTATTATCTTATCGATTGTACTCGCATGCATCTGGAGCAGCACAATATCCGAATAGGCTAGTCCGATGAACAGGAAACATCCAAAGACGTGGCTCCAGATGTTGAAGGTTTCGTTTGTCCACCAGAACATACTCTCCAGGCAGAGCTTGGTGGACAGAATGGTTCGGTACCCGGTGCGAATAAATGGATTAAACTGCAGGTGCTTCGGTGCGTCTTCGTAGCTAAGTAACTGCCGGAGTTTGTAGTACGAGACATCCTGTTTACTGCAGACCAGTTCCGCTGGGCTTTCACTATTGTTGTTGTTAGAATTGGTGAAATTACTACTACTACTACAGTTGATACATTCCTGTGTGCTACAGCATTCGATCTTCGCGTTGGATTGTTGAGTGAAGATAGTGGTTGACGAACTGGCACAGGTAATGGGGCTTTTGTCACTGCTGTCCAGCGTTGGAGCGAACTCGCTCTGGGTAATGTTCTGAAATATGAAACATAATGCTGTTCAGTTTGGACCATCGAATTGTATTTGGAGATTGAATAAATAAATTTGTAAGAATATTGTTATAGGATATAGTTTTTGTCAGCAAATAAACATGTGCAGGGTTTAATGAATTGGTTCGTAAACGATAAATAAAATTGGGCGAATGCATACTCGACTAATCAGTAGAATTTACAAGCTTAACGATTGCATTAAAAAAAGTAGACAGTTAACCGATTTTTTGAGCGTTTACCTGCCATCTAGTGGTAAATACTGATATCATTTTAAGCAGTCATATGTTATCTGTTTACAGCTCAATTTTGAAAGTTATACTTGTAATTTTTCTGTAGCTATGGTCAAAACAGTGAGGAGCCTCTGCGCAATGGCGTATTTGCCATACATTTTGCAGTTCCGGTTTATACAGAAGTACCATGCTAAAAATATGCAGTGGATTGGTTTATTCTTGCATCATTTCCCAATATGATCGCTTTTTAGCCTGGAAATTCTCAATACAGAAATTACGGAGACATATGTTTAGAATGTATCTATAGCATAGAGGTAACTCTAAGACTAATAGGTCCCAAAGAAACGTGCTCAACTTTTCGGCTCAGCTCTGGTACTCTCTTCGGTTGCTAACTAATCGATGCACCCCTCGAAAATATCAAACTTTCATTGCAAATCAGAACAAACATAGTGTAGTACTAGAATTTTGACTAGAATGGGGTACGTTAATCGATTTACTTGGGACCAATAGGCTAGTCAAGTAGTGAGCCAATTTAAAATCGTTAGTTTCCACCGGTTGTCTATAGTATTCAGAACTAGATTCAGAATCATTAGGGTCTAACTGCAATGATCGATTCTCTTCATGATTTTCTCTTTGTTTATAATTCATCGGGATTAAAATTTCTCGGTGTGTCTGTTTGTATCATTTAACATCAAACGCAAGGAGTAGCGCATCAACTCAGTGTCTATGAATTGCGTTTGTTTTGAAAATCTTCGCCAATACGTACGAGAGAAATGAACAAATGAGTTCATTTTACATCAATGAACACGTGTTTATTGATATTCACCAGCGCTTGATTATCCATAGGATGCTGCACGCTGACGTCATGAATGAACGCGATGAACCCGCATTCATCAGTTTGACATCCAGTGGTGGTTTGTTTACCTTTGCTTGGTGGTCGTTTCAAGTGGATTTGAGGTTTTAAATAAAAAGAATTAAAAGATATGATATCAGACCGAGTATCGGACTATGTTCGTTTAAAAAATATTCCTTTCCAAAAAATCTAAAAACATATTTAATAATTTTATTTTTTTTTCTAAGTCCATGGAAACAAACCACTGCCAGATGTCAAAAATGGTTAACCCTACACACTTAAATTTTTTCGCCGAGATTCCAACCGCCGAGTAGTTCTGCAATTTATTTTGCTGAGATTCAGTAAAACAATTGCCGAGACTCAGCTAACAAATAACTATTTGCAGAAATTTCAGCTAACAAACAGATATTTTGCAGAGATATCAGCAAAAGTAAATGCCGAGGTAATCGGCTGTTGGAGATTTTACCGAGCTAGATTAAGTGTGTATGGTGCAGCTCCCTATGAGTTACTGCAGCGTGACGTCACAAATGAACTCAGTGTTAATCGACTGAAAATTTTGACAGTTCAGTGGTACTGTTTACAAGCACTTGGTCGTTTTTTCGAAAAAAAAATATTTTAAAATTTGAATTAATTTTAACTTGAAAATTGTCGAGGAAATGTGCGGTGAAAGGATGTTGCTCGTTATCATTGCAGAAGTGTGGTTTACATCTTCACTGCAGTCTGAAAAATTATCGAGAAAATCTACCCAAGAGATCTACGCGAGAAAATGGCCTTACAAGGTTTGTTTACAAAATAGAGTGAGGGCCATTTCAATTGTTGGTCTTGAATTGATTATTTTGAATATTGTCGACATCAGAAACTAAAACCACAATATTATCATCAATTCACCATGAGGCAATAAAAACCAATACGAAACTCTCTTCAGCGTTATATTTAAATGTTAATAAAAAAAATGAGTTTTGCATTTGATCCTCAAAATCATCGCCACCAAGATGAAGACGAATATTAATATTGACAACAACAGAGCAACAGAGAAGATGTGAACATCCAGCCACGAATGAAGAAAAACAAATAATGTTGACTTCGATACTCAAGGGTTGCCTTGATCAAGAGAATAGACGAGTGCACGGATGGATTTGAGTTCTTTCACTCGACAAAAAGTGACACAACAGCGGGGCCCTGTTTACTAAAAATGAACACATGATGAATGCTCGCGTAACATTTGAAAAGGGCCTATTAACTTTTGTAAATAATTTGCTAGGTCATTTTCACGAGAACCGAAGTACGTCCACTTAAACCAAGAGCACTATCGGGAAGGGGAGAATTTCCCCAACCCGATGGTGCTGTTAGTTTGCGTGGGAGTATTCGGTTCGCGCGAAAAAGGCTTAACAAGTTTTGTGTACAAAAGTTGATAGGCCCGTTTCAAATGTTACGCGAGCATTATTCATGTGTTCATTTTTGGTAAACAGGGCCCCGCTGTTGTGTCACTTTTTGTCGAGTGAGTGAACTCAAATCCATCCGTGCACTCGTCTATTGACCAATGCACGGAATGAACTGCATGAACAAATTTGACGTTTGAGCGGTGCCGTGTTTACTAAAAATGAACACATGAATAATACTCGCGTATCATTTAAAAATGGCCAGTCAACTTATGTACACAAAACTTGTTAGACATTTTTCGCGCGAACCGACGTACACCCATGCAAACCAACAACACCATCGGGTAGGGTGAATTCTCCCCTTTCTGATAGTGGTTTGGTTTGCGTGGGTGTTCTTCGGCTCGTGAGAAAAGGACATAACAAGTTGTTTATAAAAGTTTATAGGACCTTTTCTAAAGTTACGCGAGCATTACATCATGTGTTCATTTTTTAGTAAACACGGCACCGCTCAAAAGTCAATTTTTTTCGTGTGCTCATTCCGTGCATTGGTCAATGCTGTTATGTCCAAATTCAAATTCATGCAGGTAGTTGGTCTATCTGTTAAGGCCCAAGCGGAACGGCAGCGGCACCGGCTAAGCCCGATCTGAGTAAGCTTACTTGCCGGATTGAAAACTAGTTAGAACCAAATCGACGTCGGTTAGGCATCTTGATGTCATTTGGGACAACTGTCATTCTTGCCGTTTCCGTTCCGCTTCCGTCCACATTGCGTTTGGGCCTTTAAGGTTGTCTTTATTTTCAGCTAAGTTGAGTGTAGAAGAAATGATTCTTGTCAGCACTGGTGTGTACTGCTAGCCAATACAACTTTTTTCATCATTGTATTGTAAAAACTTCGGAAAATGGATTTACTCAACTATAGTAATTCAAAGAGACAATCGATGAAGAGAATCATTCTTATATCCCGGGCAGACTATGGTTTATATCATGTAATATAGGCTGTCTTGCAATGAGCACTCATACATAGGATTTCCAGTGAAAACTAGATGTATGAGTGCTCATTGCAAGATAGTCTATATTACATGATATAAGCCATAGTCTGTAATGGGGTATTAGCACAAACGAAGTGACAGACGGAGCGGCTCGAAAACTTTGGTGACTAACCTGCTATTTCAATTTTTCAGTGTACCACATGGCAACACCACTACTACTGGATTGTACCACATGGCAACACTACTACTAGATTGTACTAGCATTTTTACCAAATGTATTAGAATGTTTTGGTTCTATCTCTTTCACTCTATTCAAAACTGAAATGCATAAAAAAATGACAAAATGATACGCACTCTTTGCACACTGTCAAAGAATCATTGTACACAAAATCAACTTTGTTCAAATCAAAACAAAAAAACTAACCCATCTGGTGGATGATGGCACAAGCTTCCAAGAAAATTCTATTACAGTGAACCACATTATTTAAATGGATTTCTTCGCCAGTTAGTCGTCTGTCACTTCGTTTGTGGTATTAGTAGCAATGATTCTTAAAGCTAAAGAAATATTGAAGTTAACACTTTGAAAAATTTCCGCGTTTCCATACATGAAATCTTAATCAAGTTTTTGGGCCCTGGAAAAGTGTCAATGCTCTTGAATGATCTTACAGGAAGAAAATAATCTAGAATTCTGTAGAGAACTCTTAGGGAATTCTTGAAAGTTTTCTTGCCATGAATAATTTCAAGGAAATTCTGAAAAGAATACCATGATTTTGCGAGGAAAACTTCAGGTGAATTTAATGGAGAATTCCAAGTGAGTTTTTAGTAGAATTAGTAGAACTTTAAGCAGATTTGAAAGTAAATTCTAAGGATAATTTCAAGAAAATTCTGGTATGAATTTCAAGAGAATTCAAGAGAATCTGAAGATGATTCCAAAGGTATGTGGTTTTCTCAGAAAATCAGAATTATATTAAATAGAAATTCAATATTCTTACATAGAAATTCTTACAGAACAAAACATAAAGTATCGAGACCTCTACATTTCCGAAGCTCTAAAATCAACTCGAGTTTTGTTTATTTCATGCAACGTGTTTAACGCATCATTTTTATAATGGCTAACGAAAGGCTGGCTGTGGATTTTCTCGTCGTTGCTTTGCTCACCCCTTTCAATGAAAGTAACGTCGATTTTCGAGTTGAAACGAAGCCTCATTATGGCTTTCAATCCCTTTCACCGACACGGGCATTTGCACTGTCAATTTGTTTAATATGCGTTATGTCCCATTTTTGTTACTTTTTATTTAGATAAATAAAGCCCCTTCCTATTTAGAATTGGTACGATTTCAATCGGTTGTATCTCAGAATCTGTTTGGTTTAAAATAAAACGTTATTAGAAGAAAATGTTATATATTTATTATAGTTTGAAGATGTAATATGTGTTTTGTAATTTTTATCCCTATCGAAAATTCAAACTTTGGGCTTGATACATCAACTTCTGCTGTTTTTTTCCAGTATCTGACCATTGAAATATCATTTCCATTTTT